CTTACAATTACATAGTTACAAGCTAGATGACAAAAGTCTTCATCTAACCCATTGCTGACCGGTAACGCTTTAGATTACAGCCCGGAAAGTACTGCATAATTAAAGCGATTTTACAGAGTAATCTTTGGTAATAATAATGTATCTATAACGTACTTACAATATAACTATAAGGAAACAATATTTTAAGTTTGGGGAATAAAGGATTAACATGTACTTACAGGGTAAGTAAAATAAAAATGCATACACAATATCACTGACTCGCAAACCTTTATTTATTATACAAGCACCACATACCCTGTAACCACATCAAACCAGAAAAATAAATAACCAGAAAACCAGACTAAAGTACAAACAATGATCATAACCACATATGAATTATCTTATACGACACATGTAGATTCATTTACCTTTGAGAAATGAGCAGAGAAAAATCAGCCCCAGCAAACTCTGATCAGCCATTTTCTGTCTCTGTCCGTCTTCCATGGATCATCATTCACTCAGTTCTTCTTTTAAACCGCATCAGTTCCTGTGGTCAAAACTTCATCAGCCTAACGTGTTTAGTCCTGAATCTACAGCTGCTACTCAATGACATGAAGTGCTGACCTGCATTACGTTTAGATGAAAAATCATGTTCATAATGTTTCATAAAAACTAGATAGATAAATAGCAGAGCTTCACAAGCTTGACCGTTAAGTTCACAGTCTTGAATTTTTGTCTTTTAAACAAAGTATCTCAAAAGTTCCATAAGAAAGACTGAACAAGAGTCATCTATGAGTTTTCTCTCGCTCAGTTCTAGAGTTATGTTTAGTTTCATGATGTAGTTCATCAGAACATTGCTTTATTTTAAAAGAACTAATTTAGCAGAAACTGAGGAAGTTGCTTCAACATGGGCTGATTCACTGGAACACATCATGGTATTTCAGGACTTATGACATCAGAAACCCAGACCACCGTACCACAGAAAACACCAGCCAGCGGTTAATGATCGCAGCCAGTGCGCCAGTACAGAGGCTCAAGTGCAAAACAGTGCAGACAAAGAGCCAGATATTATAGTAATATATCAGAAAGAGGCATATACATGGTCATAATTTACATTAGCTGTTTGAAGAAGAGCTCTGTCTTCATATGTTTTGGAAAATTGTAATTCTTGTGGAAGTTTGAAGGGATGGGAGAAGAGACGTCAGGAGACGTGATATGTGATAAATAAATATATATTAAGTGTTTGTTGTGGACCGCTGGATGCTGATATCACTGGAAAACATGCCGGAGACATGAGCGGAAATGAGCGGAAAGCAGAGGCGAATCATCTCAACTGTTGCTGAGCGTCTGAAATGCAGATCTTCTCGTCTTGGTAGTACATATTCTTGGAAGCAGGACTGAATACAGAAATGTTAAAACACCAACCATCACAACACTCTCTCAAAATCTTGGTTGGCTCTCGGTTTGGCCATTGCTTTGGGGATGATAACCTGAAGACAGAATGAAAGTCGCTCCTAGTAATCTACAAAACTCTTGCCAAAATTTGGATACAAATTGGGCCCCCTGTCAGAAACCAAGCCCATCGGAAGGCCATGTTAAGTGAAAGACGTGATCTATGACAGTCACCGCTGTCTCCTTGGCAGAGGCTAATTTGGGCAAGGGAATGAAATGAGCCGTCTTCAAGAACGGTCCACTACGGTCAAAACGACCGTTCTGGGGTGCGTTTCCCGAAAGCATCGTTAGCCAACTATGCTCGCAAGTTCCGTCGTTATCAGCATAGTTTAACGAGTCGGTGTTTCCCGAAACCATAGTTCCAACGAACATTCGCAAACAGCATCGCAAAGTTGTGTGGTTTGAACGACAGCTCTCGACCTATGGTTAAAAGCATCGTTTCTATATTTCATGACATTTGGAGGTAATAAATCCTTATATTGAGCAAAATAAACAAGCTGACATTCAGTACAACCGGTGCCTTTTATTTAGAATACTTACAAATGGAATTTACGTCTTTTAGTTTGTCAAGAGATTTGAAGTACCGATTTTGAAGAGTGCGCATGTGCGAACATGCTCTACTATGTAAGAACGAGCCAAATATTGAGTCTGGTGATAAAGCAAAACAACTGAGAACAATTAGAAGTAGACATGTCTGTAATTTATATAAAACAAATCTAGCGTTAATTGGATCTCAAACAGTTTCATTAAAAGTAGTTATTACTCCACCACGTGCGAAACCAACGTGATTGAACGATACTTTGAGACAGTGGGTTTCGGGAAACAGTCGTGACTAGCTAGTGGTTTTATCCAACGATGCATCGTACTATGGTAGTGAAGCAGTGAACTACGTAATTGTACAGGAAACGCACCCCTGATCGTTACCCGTCTCTGAGTAGCCACTCGTGCACACTGGTAACCGCTGTAAAAATCTGTTGTTTTCTGGAGCTTAGGAAAGACACATTCGAGAGTCACCAGAGCCATTCGGATTGCCTAATCACAGGGAGACAGGTTAATAACAACAATATTTAATCTTAAATCCATTAACCATCTTAAAAGCAGCCATCTAGCTGCTTAGATTATACTCAGTGAATTTAGACCACATCCGTACATTCAGTTTACTCCATCTGTAGCCGGAGCCTCATGTTGGGGACTAAGATCAGACCAAGAAGTCACTCGTCAAAAATGTCACTTCTTTCGTTTATTATTATTTCAACGACTTCTTTAAAGTCCTCCAGTTTTACTTTTGAAACAAATTGACCTCTAAATGGCAATGATTTCTCTTAACATCTCTGTGTCTATGATCTTCAACTGAAACACTGTGCTTTACTGCAAACAGCTTATCACGAATGACACAGGCTCAGATTACAGCTTTAATACCCCTTTTCCACCGAAAAAAAGACCTGGTTCGGAACTGGTGCTGGTTCAAAGTTGGTTCGGAGTTGGTTCAACTTGCGAACCCGTTCAGAACCTGTTTGTTTTTCCACTGACTAGAGCGCCCAGGGAACGACGTCGTTACGTCACTGTGCTCGTCGCTAGAAACACTTGCAAGTTCGTTGTTTTGGGATTATCTCTAACTCGTGTACCAAGAAAACTTTAAAAACAATTGAAATATGTAAGTCTTTTAATCTTTTCGTTTGATATGTAATCTTTTCTGATAAGTTGTGTACCCCTGTCGTGTATCTTTTTTCTTTCCATTTATTTGTTCTATATCGTGACTGTTTTCTTCTTTGCTTATGTTTCAAATAAAAAAAATAAAAAGGCCTAAATAAAAACGCTTGCGTGTTTCTTCAGTTTCTCCTGGCTTTGCGATGGTCAGAAAATATGTTTAGAGCACATCTAACCAGACCTGGTCACTTCACCCAAGACCAAAAAGGTTGCACCAAGTGCTAAATCGTAAGTCGCCGTTAAACCCAGACAGATCCACTTCCAAGGAATCCCACTCTTCTGACTAGGGCTGTAGTCAAGTCCACCTTTGTCGAGTCCAAGACCAGGAATTGTCGAGTCCAAGTCAAGATCGAGTCCAAAGAGGTTCGAGTACAAGTCAAGATCGAGTCCAAAAAGTTTCGAGTCCAGGACAGGGAAAAAAAAGTCTTCAGGGCCTGAATTTCGTTTTTGCCAAACAAAATTATTAAATTTATGCTCATTGCATTTTTTACAATGGGGAGATGTTGTTAAGAATTTACACAACACAAGGCTTGATTTAAATTGTTCAATTAAATTGAAAAAAGTTACACAAGTAAATACAATAAAGATACAAATATAAAGAGAAACGTTTTTGAATCGGTCTAACACTAGTATTCATAGACAGAAACTGAATAAAGTAATCAAATTGAAAGTAACACTGGATAGTATTTTAGTCCTGAATAAATTAAACACATAGGCTATTAATCCTGATTCCTTTAACTTAAAGCTCTCTTTTGTTGTTTTGACGACAAAATTAATGACCGACACATATGGTTACTGTCACTTTAAGAGCTAGTGCATGGATTCTGTCTTCATTATACTGGCATGCGTTTTATGCTTATTAAAGACAAAACCGACTATGTTTAGACCATTATACTCACGAAGACCGAAATTGACAGGGTTTGGAGTGTTAAAGCAATATAGCTAACCCAATATAGTGAAAAATAACTTTTGTTACTGGCCAGCTGTTCTTGAGGAGGATTTTCTATGAATGTGCGCATAGTCATCCCAGAGAGCGCACGAGGACTGATGGTTTAAAATTGCTTGAATGTTAAACTGGTAAAACTTAAAAAGACGTGCAAATGGTAAGCTTTATTCACGATGCACTGCTGGCCCGAATGCAAGTGAATATTCTGTCATGTCCCGACTCCTGAACGCGAGTGTGTATTATCGCAGCAGCGACTGATGCGCCTTCCACAACACATGAGAGAAGAGAAGACGCGGCACCGTTGAACGCTCACGCTGTTTGTGAAATTGCGTCTGGCAGATAGTTATTAAAAGAATGATTTGATTTTATAATATGTGTGGATTACGATTGCGGGAATATCCCACATTATAAATGGGAGATCTGCGGAAATCATTAGAATTGTGTGCAACACCCAGGATTTTTAAGTAACGTTAGTAGCTAGTAAGATAGTAACTATAGTAACAGCATGAGAAGATGCGCAACGTTGTAGTGAGCACATGATCGGTTAATTTGGGCATTTTCTAAGTTAACGTTACCCTGATAGGCTAGTAATAAATGAACACGCATACAAAAATGTTGGACTCGGTCGAGACCAAAAGCCATATTTGGCAAGACCAGTGGCCGAGACCGAGACAAGTCCAACCGAGTCCGAATACCAGCGAGTCCGAGACCATAGAAAAACGGTCTCGAGTCCGGACTCGAGTACTACAGCCCTGCTTCTGACACCAAACTGTTGTGGCAAAAATCCTGTCAAGCATCATAACTGCGTAACAGACACTCAGAGTCAAATTAATAAAGAAAGAGAAGTTTTTATTCTTGCAAGAATAGGCCCAGTCGCCAGTATAGCAGGTACACTGTGTCGTGAGTGAACCTTTTCAAGGTTCCTCTTCCTTTCACCCACCCAGATAAGGCCCTTACTGCTGTTAGTCTCTACTTCAGGACACAAACTGGTACTGGCCAAAACTGGCTGTCCCTGAGGTCAGAGGTCCTGTCCCATATGTTCCTGAAACGTCACCCACAACCACGTACACATCTATATTTCACTCATGGAATCGGTTCAATGGAAACACACGGCTCAGACTACCTAGTAATCTTCACTAATGATTAAAGTTCCCACAACAGCTCATACACACACAAACGCAGCACGAGAAAGAGTCGGTGAATTCATGAACTGTGATAGTGTATAGTGTCTGGACACATCTAAGTACACTGATGCCCCAGTCTATCTCTGCCATACTTCACACACTCGTGCTTCTTCCAATCACAGTACGAAAGTGTTCACTTTCATGAATCCAGTGTTCACACGGTTAGAATAGTGCAAACCATATTCTTTTGCAAGAAGTTACAGGTTTCATCTCGTCATCACTTATCTTTAGTGTAACTCGTTATCCACGTTGTATTTCATCTGTAAAAATATGAATTGCCAACTTGATCTCACAGCAATTTTGAATTTTACGAGGTGCTAATTCGTACATATTTAACGAGTTACCAAATTCGTATTAATTTTTACAAATTACCTACCCCTGACCCCGCCCCTAAACCTATTCATCATGAGGGTATAGACAATCGTACGAATTCGTATGAGTGACGTCGTACAAGTTCGTGCGAATTAGCCACCTTTTGATCACTCGTACGAATTGCTCGTGAGATAGCGTTGGAATTGCACAATAGTAAAAACCTGCGTTTGGCCATTAATTATTAAATTCGTTAATATGCAATTGTTATGAATGATTCAAAGCTGAGCTACTTTTTTTCTTCACTCCAATAAGGTAGAAAAATAGTTAGTTAAAGTAAATATAAAGTGTGTATATGAGGATTTTAACTGCGACTGTGATGACGCCCTAAACTTCCTTTACTGGTGTAACTGACTGAACCTGTGTTTATTTATGTTTATTTTTTATTAACATCTGTCTGAAAGTCAAAATTGCATTATAAATTCAACATATTCATGACCAACTATACAATATTTGTAAATATAAATACTGGAAATTACTTGGTTACTGTCACAATCTGGTTGTGTAAAACACACAATGACAATCTTGTTGACGAGAATGAGGGTGAATGCGGTATAAATACACAGAGGGAACTAATAAACTAATTAATGAACACCAGGTGAACTGCATACAATTATCAAAGGAAACTAGCTCACAGAGAGACACAATGAAACAGATCATACATATTGCAGTTACATGTTGAAGTCTTCTTTTACAACCCCATTTCCAGAAGTTAAATGGAAAATGTGCAGAATATATTTCCACTGTTTCCGCTGACCAACTTGAGTGTATTTTGTAAATATAAACATGATGGCTGCCACACACTCCTATTGGGACAGAAGCAAAATAAAATTGAAAAGATTATAGAATATAGATGTTATTGCATTATAAAATGTCCCCTAACTTTTCTGGAAATCGGGTCATAATTCACGTCTCAAAAGCATTGTATAACTTATTCGTTGTTAATAATTTGAGCAGATTCTGGATCCCACGGGTTTCAGCAGAACCGCCGCACTTCCTCCTGACCTCCAGCGTTTGCTCCTCCGATGGCAGCGTATGTCACGTGATCATCAGACTGAACCTGAGTGAGCCACACACACACACACACACACACACAGTCAACCACCATGACAGACATTATTACAACACACCGCAGTGACAAATGTGTCTAAGAATCAGATTTAGCATTGCGTATTTAAACACCGCAGTTTCACATGGTTTTCAACATGTCTGCCACGTATGATGTCAGTGTTGTGTATTGTAGGAGAAGTGAAAAGAAAGGCCTGATTGTCTGTTAGCAAACACACACCGCAGGGAAACGGGAGGAGAGGACCAGACTCCTTTACTCACATTGGGTCTTTCAGGACACTTGTTCCTGGAAATGATGACCTCAGCATACGCCACATCATCGGTGTTCTCCTAAGCATCAATAGAAACATGTGACGTGTAGGCAAGAGTGTAACTAATATGGTATTAGTTGTATTTGAAAAAATTATTCTGTGTATATTTTATAACTATTGTTTAGTTAAGTTATAGTACAGATGATGTTCATTCTTCTGATCAGCTGTGTGTCAGTATGAATCTATGAGCTGTGATCATTAGTGTTGTTCACTAACATGGACATCAGCAGCTGGAGGGGTCACCGGGGTCAAATCTGCCTTATCTGCCAAAAATACAGTAAAAAGAGTGAAATATTATTCCAATGTTAATCAGCTGTTGTCTATGTGAATATATAGTAAAGTGTCATTTTTATCCTGTGATCAAATCTGAATTTTCAGCATCATTACTCCAGTCACATGATCCTTCAGAAATCACTCACTTTTGATCAATTTAATGCATTCTTGCTGAATAAAAGAAAATAGTGTCCTACGCAGTAAACTGGCGAATTCCAACCGTCTCATTACTCTGCATTTGACAAATATTTGGGATGTGAAAGATGCAAGCTAATTTGAGATATACGTGAAATTATGCATGGTAATGACTCGAGGGAAGGTTTTTTTTTTTTTTTTTTTTTTTAGCAAAATTTATGCAAGAATGCATTTTTTAGGGACTATTTTATCCGTAATCGTCCAACTGGATGGAAACAGACAACAAATTTCACAATCTTTTTTTAAAGCATATTCACTTCAATAACAAAACAGCGCAAAGAAATGGTTGTAAACTTGTCATGATTGAAAACTCACCGGCTCTTTTCTTACAGATGAACCAAAGCGCAATAAGAGCCGGAAGACCCAGAAGAGCCGCTACAGCAGGACTCACTTCAGGAGAGACCACACGACAACAGTCACACACTCGACACACACTCAAACATTTAACCACATTTCACAGAATCACTGTGGGATTCTTCTTTCAAGCCCTTATAGCAATAAACCAAAAAGTCATTTGAGGTGGAAGAGAAATCTGCATGAGTCAAATGTTATTCTGTGAATATAGCAATATTACTACTTATATAGGTATAAATGTTGACTATCAGTAATCAGACATAATGGTATATTAATTATAAGGACTGTGAAGTAAACACTGAAGTGAGGTTGAGCACCTTGTGTTGTGGTTTGTGTTGCTGGAGTTGGGGTTGCGTCAGTGTTTCAGGTCATGTGACCAGGGCAGTGTAAAGAGGAAAACAGCAGTAGTTAGATTAAACACACCATGTCGTAAACTCAGCTCACACTCCACACTTCTGCCATTTAAAGGGTTATTTATTCCATAGATTTTTTTTAAAGTTGTGTTGCTGAAAGCCTCTGCACATCATGACACACACCCTGAAGTTGTCCACTCTGTTATTTTGGAGGATTTCATCATGACATGATTTAGGAAGTAGGATCAATTGAGATCAAGATATCATGTGGACTGGGCAAAAAATGTTTATTTTAACCAGAAATTTTATTCCCAAATGTATTAAAAAAAATAAATCTTAGTCGCATAGTAGTCTAAAACGTATTTGTTTTCTTACCCGAGTACGTGACAGTATATCTGACTGAGGTCTGGACTTTATCTCCTTTAGTAATCTCACATCTCCACTGTGTGTTGTCGTCTTCATCGAGGAGTGTTGTAGTCAGAGAACTGTTACAGTGTTCACGAGAGAATGAGATCTGATATCTGGAGTCGGACTGCAGATCCACATCAGACTTATTCTTCCACACCAGATTAATTCCCTCATTATGGAAGAGATTAACACAACTATACCCATCATAGACATACAACTGACAGGAGAGAGAGAACGAGCGTCCAGGTCTAATCTCAGTCTGTGAGGATGATGGAGAGACTGAAACAGAAATCACACAACACACATTTATTCCAGTAAACATGAGTTTAAAGATGTTATTTTATCATATATGAACAGAAACACTGACCATGAAGAACATTCAGATTAACAACGTCATCAGTGTATTCCTGTGTATTCACATATTGTCTGCAGGTGTAATGTCCATGATCTTCAGTTGTGGCTTTATAGATGTTCAGAGAGCAGTCAGACCCCAGACTCAGTCTCTCATGTCTCTCTATATCATTATTCTTCATCCCTTCTATAAATAACTCAACTGCCCCTGAACTTCTTTCTCTGTCATATATCCATCTAGTTGATGTGCAGTCGGTAGAAGCACTGACACAGGACAGACGGACGCTCTCACCATCACTGATGAACACATTGAGAAATGTGTGTCCACTGGTGCCTGAGACAGAGTAGATGTGTGTTAATGTAGGGAGTTATATTAAATATTTACAGTTATCAGTTATTTAAAATGGTCCACACTCACTATTTCGGCGTAATCTATTCCTTTATATTCTAATTATATAGCCTACTATAATGAAGTACATTTTCAGAGCTGTCTTTAATTTCTTCTGATTTAAATTTAAATGTATATTATCTACATTGCTCTGTCTTTTTCTATAGAGGATTGATTACACCGGTGTCATTTTCTTCTTCTTTTCATTTTCTGTGTCATTTTGAAATTTCTTACATAAACTTCTATTAACTTTATATAAATCATAAATGAATTATTTCATTATCAGTGTAAAACAACATTGTGTAAGAATAATACAGCATGAACTAAAGACACACTATCACATAGAATGTTAGTAAGGATACAATGAACTTTTCAACTTCTGCTTTACATTTAATTCTAACTAATTAAACTAAGCCCAGAAGAAACATGTTGTCAGTTCCACAGATGTGTTGTTGTACAGGTTGGCTTACCTGTGAGCAGCGAGCAGAGAATCATCAGTCCCAGCATGTCTAGACGACACTCTTCATCCGTCTGTCTCTGTCAGTCTTCCTCTTTCCATCGTTACAGATTATAGAGACTCTCCGGCCCGTTCTCTGTGTGGAAACTTCCTGTGAATTTGGTAAAACATTGTGATGCAATAAAGACACTGTAGAATTTAACTACTCTGTCTTTCTGTGGGTTGTTATATGCCACTGACTTCTGAAATAGACATACAGCCATGTCTGTGTCACCATGTGGTGAAATGCCACTAAACTGCATATACAGGCTATTTAAATTTAGTGCAATGGTTGACAAAGTTTCCTAGAATGCCGTTCGATGTTAAATGTTGTTTTTATGTATTGTGTGGTTTGTTTATTCTCCTGTGCTCCTTCTCCTGTGAATAAGTGTATTACCACTAGAATACTAGACTTATTGTAGTATAATTTCCTATTTGTGTGTGTTGGGTACCACTCAGCGTGACAGAACACGAACCCGAACGAAAATGTGGAAATAAGAAGAAAGATGGACTTCCGTTCAGGTCTTCTCTGGTTGGAACAGCGGAGCGTTCCCTCGAATGGGAATTTCTTGGATTTCTTGGATCTGCCGTGCCTTAATGAGCAGTACAAAACAATCCTGCCTGTAGAAGGTCCTCGGGGAGCTTTGCCGCATTCATCGAGTGGGTGCTGGTTAACTGTGGATCCCTCTGCACAGTCTGCTCAGCAGATGAGGGAACACAACAGAGCCCATTGCAGAACCCACACCGCCACAAACCAGAGGCCTCCGCATCTCATCAGGGTCCGGGATCGTAAAGCCCTACAGAGAGCAGTGCGCTCAGTGGAGCATATATATAGAACCGCTCTCCCTTCTCTGCACATTAATGTCAATTACCTGATGTTGTTATTCACCATCTTTCTGTGTTAGATGTAGCACCAGTTCAACACATCCAGGTTTACAACTCGCTCAGTTCACTTTCCGAAAAAAGCTGCCTTATGATCAGGGAACGAGACAATGTCATTGACGCTATGGGAAACGCCTCAGGCGTGACAGCTATGTGTCTGAAATCAAGTATGAACTATGAACAGCAATCATGTTGACCGGCAACAGCCTGTGCATCATCAGCTCAAATGATGAGCACATCAATCTGGATGTATAAGAAGGGCGCCTTGAAACAATGACAACATCCTATCGTCTGAAGGGACTATTGCAGGCAGGCCCCGAGGTATGGCAGGGAGACGACTGAAAATAGGGAACATAGGTAATAGTGGTAACCTGAGATGTTTTCTTTCGAAGGGAACTCAACAATACGTCAATGACGCTATGGGGAATGAAATGCCCACGCTGACATACTGAGGGGAGTACAACTGTCAGAACCATTCATAGAACACTAGAACCACTCAACCTTAGGTCACGTTGGGCTGTCAGTGACAGCACTCCCTACCTGTCATAGCCCAAACTAATGAACAAAGAAAACTGCCAGAACATAGTTCATGGGAGGTATACTTGGGCCAGCTCAAAGGTTTAGGACCACAACTTCTTAATAGAAGGGGTCCCTTCTAGGGAGTGTGGTTAGGGGACCCAAGGGACTCCCAGCCAGTCATTATTCAGGAGAGCATGCCTTCTGACATGCCACCAGGCTGGCCTGGTGATCTATACTAAGATGCACAGTCTGGCCATTACTTGTCTGTCCGAGACAGAGCCTCCAGAAATTGCCTTGGAAAAGGAATCCAAAACCGAAGGCCTGCAGAACTGGCAGAAACCATTCAGTTCCAGATCACAGAGACGGGATCCCCCGGAGAGTGTGACTCAACCTCAAGAAACTACGGAAGTCGTCCACTCAATCCACGGTCCACCCAGTGCTCGTTCTGAACATTGAGGAACTAAGAGAGGGATCAAAACCAGGAAGGTCTGCTGAGGCCTAAGACCTGATGATCCCTTCATATCAGGAAGGCCGGTGAGGCTTGAAATCTGACGACTACAGTATGTGGAAGCTCATACTCAGGAAGGCCTGCAACCTGGCGACCGCAGTATGTGGGAGCTCCCATTCAAGAAGGCCGGATGAAGCCTGTAACCTGGCCACCACAGTGTCACAATCTGCTGAGTGCAGTGACCTGCAGTGTGTTACTTCCTTCAAATGTTCACGCTTCACCGGTACATGGTCAAGTTGGTGCCAGTGCTTAGAACGTGGATGACGCCAGGTGGCTTTAGAGGAACTTGAGCCCTGAAAGAATGAAGAGTGGTTACAGAGTTTATGGATGCTGCAAAGTTGACCATTGTCATTCATGTTGCCATATCCATGGCTTCCCAGAATATCAGGCCATGCACAAGAGTTAGCACCCACTCTGGCATTAAAGTCACCAAGGATAATCCAACGTTCAGTTGAGGAGGTCTTCTGAATAATGGAGCTCAATTGACTGTAGAATGATTCCTTTACATCTGGATCAGAAGTCAGCGTAGGGGAATAAGTGGCTATGATTGTAACTGGGCCACAGTTTGTGTGCAGGCGCAGTGAGGAGGGTGACCGTGATTTTGCCAAGTAAGAGGTGTTCCTGGATCAAATGTTGATCCAGGATCAACAAAATATGTTGATCCAGGAACACCTCTTACTTGGCAAAATCACGGTCACCAGTGTGTATTAGCTGCCAGTTATCTGTAATATACAGTGGAGCTATTTAGAGATTTTCTAATATTATTTTAAATTGTTATTATTATTATTATTAATAATAATACTTCTAATATTTTTTTATTTCTTTAATTAATAAAAAAGCTGCTTTACAACTTAATTGAACTCTGTTTGCCTCATTGAATCATTATTTTCCTGTTATCCCTGAAAAGCTGCTTTAAAACAACTGTATTTTGAAGTGCTGTAAAGGTGACTTGACTTGAGGATTTTACTTGTTTATTAATAAATATAACGTTTATAAAAATAATACATGTTAACTATCTAGTATGAATTAGAAGTAGTGTTGGGTTGTGTTTTAAAGTTCATGATTCTCCCAGCCGGTGTAATAGCAGTCTGAGTCAGCAGAGGGCGCTCCAGCTCAACTCAAACACTGCACGGCCCCACCCTTCTCAGAGTTAGTGGTGTGTGTGTGTGTTCGATACACAGAGAACACTGAGCTACTTATGTACGTTCTTCCCTGTCTCTCTTTTACTTACTACACACACACACACACACACACACACACACACACACACACACACTATACCTCAATTCAGCAGCTAACGTTACAATACAAGCTTAACTCATCACTGCAAAAAAAAAAGTTCTTCAATCAAACGTTATAATTATGCATGTTCCCCCTGTCCTGTATATTTAATACTGCTGTACCTGAAGTCACAGATGAAATGAAAATGTAAGCTATGCATAAAGATACACAATGCTTCAATTTAAATATAGCTAAATAAAATCAGTGTGGGGGAAAAAAAAACTTGCTATTCAATGAACGCAATTTGCCATTCATTAGCTATCATTAGACTGGAGTTTATCTGGAAACTGCTTTAGTTTTCATTTCCTGCGTGGCTCTCTGTAAGAGGAAACAATAAATTACACTATACCGCTAATTATCAGTCTGGAATATCGTAGATCTCTTCATATTTTTGGATGGAAATTAAATAACATTTGTCAGCCATTATTAGTGTGTTCCCCTTCACCAAGCAGACATGATCACCTCATCCAGAACTCTGGAAACCGCCAAATCGACTTTCGATTCTGAATAACTCGACATTGTAAAATAGTTTATTTGTATGATAAAGTCTCAGTCGTGCGATATTTCCCTGCAGAAACAGAGTTAGGGCCGTTCGGGTTTCAGGGCCTGAACTAGTTAAAAATACCAAACTTACATTTAATTGTTTTAAATAGTCTACTTTAAAATAGAAAGTAATATTTTGTGTTTCAAATAGCTGAAATAATAAAGTGTGTTTGTGATTAAGACACTCCTTATTTCATTTATGACACATTTGTGAAATAATTTAGATCTGAATTGATCTTTGTAAATGACTGTCAAACAAACAGTTTTAATTCGCAAACGCGTTGATGTGAATCAGAAGAATAAACTCTAACGAAATGTGGCATTCAGAACATGGAAGACGAATTTACAGTTTTCCTAAACAACCGTAATCTTAATTTAAGAAGCGATAGTGGGAATAAATGCACTGTTGTGAATGAAATTACAGCGAAACTTAATAGTCTACTCGTGCCATGCATGGTTACACTGTATGAATTTAAGATCTTTAGAGTTTATTTAGTTGTAGCCTATAACAACATGAATGAAATACATCAAATATTTATTTAAAAATTATGATTATTAAAAAATTATGATTATTATGATTAAAAAAATTATGATTATTAAAAAAATATATGTAGGAACTTACACTTATATAAAGTGGTGAAAAGCTGACAACAACTGTACAGAAAAACTGCAGAGGTTCAGAAGTGTTAAACGCCAAAAATAGTTTTTGCGTGCATATGATACACACTTTTTGGCGTGTAATAATAATCCTAGAGTTTTCAGTGCGCAGCACGTGCATGCAAAATCAATTTTTGGCGTTTAACACTTCTAAACCTCTGCAGTTTTTCTGTACAGTTTGTAAATAAATGACACGAGAAATAACATTCGTGGTATAGATGCGCGTTTTCACGAGTTTGTGTTGTTGTTATAGCCTATATAAACAATTTATATATATATATATATATATATATTGGCCTATATTGTTAATCAGGTTGAATATTTCAGCTAATAACGTCGAATGTTTTCTGGCTACTAACATAACGAGTATGTTGAACATCAGGATATAATGTGGATTTCGTCAGTTCTCAGCTCGTTCAGGGAAACACGAGTAAATGCTCGTGTGGAGAACAGCAACACACACTTATCTACGTAGTATATGACGGCTGCTCCTCTTCCTCTCGCGAAGGCTTTATTATCTGAGAATGTGGAGCTGGAGATGAAGAACACAGACACGAGATCAGCCAGTGCTTAGAATAAAGCAGATGAAGATGCACGAATGTAAATATGGATAGCTCATAAAGCGATGATGACTGTCATTGTTTTAGTGTTGCATCTGAACAATAGCAGAACTCTCGCGCGAAACCCATTAAATCTATTTATTTTTCATCATTTTCATTTATAAAGTTGAGCATCGCTATTTAAACA